TGTTTATGAGACACAGGAAGGCTTGGGCCGTGACTCATGAAAGCAAGGCCTGGAGACGACCTCCTGCCACAGATTGGAGCCACGCCCATCACTGCCTGAGCGTGGGCGCTATCAGCGTGTCTTTGTTAATGAAAGCAAAGGGCGGGGGAAATGTGCTCAGTGTGCAGACAAGCAAGTAAAAAAAAAAAAAGCAGATGTCAAAATTTTATTTAAATTATAGAAAAGAGAATCCAAAGCCAAAAACATTAAAACAGGACAAAGACGGTCACTTGATGTTGCTAGAGGATATAAATCATGGCATGGTAACTACAGCATCTTCTTACTTGTGTATTATATTAGAATGAGTGAAAAAGAAAAGTTTAAAAATAGGAGGAGAAAAGAGCCCAAGGGCTGAGGTCGTAGAACCGTTTCCCTACTTGACAGAGGCAATATATTCATGATTGAGAAGAATATGGGGACCCTGAAGAGCATCAGCAATGTTCTAGTTTAGCTGACACCAGGCTGAAGCCACACCTCCCCTCCCAGCACAGCAAACTGTTTTTAATGGAGAAGTCTATTTTGAGAGCCAGGATTCCTGAAGGGGTGGGAGCCGTTGAGTGGGTGGAGGAGGAATTCTGGGGATGTTCCCTCGTGGGTTCCCTGGGCTGGATTTGAGTTCTGGGAACTGAGAGCAGGGCTGGAGTTACAGGGGGAAGGGGGTTTTGAGCAATCTCGAAATTGTCTGGGCCGTGGCGTACTAGCCAGAGGTCAGCAAAGTATCAAGGAGAAATTCTCAGAGGCAGATGAGGGCAGCAGGGAGCGTAGAGCACTTGACCAGGGGCCGTTCTCCTTCTCCTGAAAGACAGGCCATATGCCTGGGGTGTCTGTACCCTTGGGGTGGAATGGGAGTGGGGGTGTGGGGTGCCATCACGTCTTCATAATTTGGGTAGATGAAGGATACTGATGTTATTTGTGGTTATAGTCTGGAGACCTGTGAGTCATATCTGCTTCAAACTGTGTATAAAAGCTGACCACTTTCCTTCCCAACATTCAAGAAGTATTTCTAAACATCGCTTATGTATTGGACCAAGGGACCTCAATAAATACCAAAAAGCAGAAAGCGATTGAGGTCTTCCAACCTCCTGCAACATAAGGACAAGTTAACAACACAGTTTAACTTTTAAAACACAATGTGTAAATCATAGCTCAATTTTAAAAATCTGTACCTAAAAGTTAAGGATAAAAAGCATTCTCCTAAGTGAATGCCAAGTCACAGAAAAAAATCAAAATTAGTCCACTGATGGAAGATTGGACCAAAAAGATGTGGGACAGTGCTCCCCGGCTACTAGGACAAGTGGAAAGTTAGCTTACAACAAGCGGAAGGAACATGGAGGCCCGGCCAAGCGCCGGAAACCAGGAAAATAAAGACAACATGGGTAATCTCACACAGAGGAATGATGTAAGGAAATGAAGCAGGTAAATAAATATATCAAGATAATTATAGACTAGCAGACCCTGATAGCCAAAGTGAGATTTCTGAAGCTAAGAAGGAGGAAGATACAGGTCGTGAAGTCATAAGCATTGTGGGGAGGGAAGAATAGAAAAGATAGGTGGACAGACAGGTGGGAAAAGAAGCAAAACTTCTTTACAAAAAGAGAAAAGGATGAGAAATCTACCCCCAACACTTACCAGACATAGCTCAACCTGTTTTCACTACTAAGCGAGAAGGAATGAATTTAAATGAGCGGGTAACATAAATAAGAAAGAAAAAAATAGAATGTGAGGGCTGTATTTGAAAAGTGCACAGAGAGACAAAAGCTAAAGTAAAGAAATGATTACTAAAGGAAAAAAAATCGAGTCGCCAAATAAAGGCCGTTGAATGAAGAAAGCCAGTCCCTGCAGGTCACAAAACGGGGGAGCCTGCATTTCCCCTCCCAGCCGTTGCCACTCAGCTACTTCTCTGCACCTTGTCTGTTCTCCCCTCTGCTGGGAACCACTTGGAATTGTTCGAGGTTGAATGAAAATCAGGACCTTACAGTGGGGTCCCACCAGGAGCACTGGACTCCAAGGCCCCACAGTGGGTGAGCAGGCAAAGCTTTCTGTCCCGGGAAAACACTGCCCGTGGTAGCACTTGGGATCTTTGGCAGGGTTCTCTCCCTGTGGAGTCGGCCGCCAGCCCCAACTGCAGATTCACGAGCAATATAAATGTCACGGTTCAGCCACTTAGATGAAACTGAGCAGCAGCAAGTTCAAACCTCCGGCGACCTGAGGCTGGTGGCTCAGCCTGGCTTGTCACACTTCAGCTGAGAAGCGTGGGGGCAGTCATTCACACAGGGCTGCCAGGACAGATCTGTGTAGGTGAAGCAGTTGATCAAGCACTCTGCTCTAGCGCCCTCCTCATCATCGCCAGCTTACCCCCCCCCCCATCACGGGCTGCAGGTGGCCATGGCTGTGAAGTAGCTGCATTATCCCTGTTAGCACTGAAGATATCGAGAACTTTCTGTGGTCAGCTATTCCCTGGACAGTGTCCTGGTTTTCCTCTTATTCATGAACGTTTTTTATATTAATAAAGGTCCTTTGCAAATTGGCCTCCAGACAGCTTCCAGATTTCAAAATAGATTCTGGGTAAAGCAAGCCAGTCCATCTTGGGAGGAGCAGAGGACAGAGCGGACAGAGCGACCAGAGAGCTTGGGGCAGGCTTTTGTCAGTCTGTCAGGCCCCGCCCTCCCTGGCAGGTCACCTTGACCTCGCGGCCACTCTTGAGCTGACTAGAGCTTTCTGCTTGCTCCGCGGGGCGGTTCCCTGAGCAGCAAACAGCTGACGGGGTCACCGGGGGCCACCGGTTCATACCACAGCTGCCACAATAGGCTGTGGACAGGATTCAGCATGTCCCTGGGTCTTCTGGGTTCCCCCCCACAAAGATGGGGGTGGACCGGAAGGAGGCAGCTCTGAGAACCAGCACTGGGGGCCCCACGTCTGGTTGTGCACCTGCAACCCAGCCAGTCCCCCCATGGCTGTATGACAGACACAGCATCTTGCAACAGGCTTGAAGCCGCAGGGACCCCACAGCCCAGTGGGCCTGGGTGGGCCTGGGCTCCGGCGGGGTGACCGCCAGGTCTTCCAGCACAGTTGGAATCACCTGGGGTGGAACAAAGGAGCCGAGCAGCCACCTGGGGCAGCAGTGGCCCAGGACTCGCCTCGGAACAGTGGAACAGCCCCACATCCTCGGGGGGACAGCTCCAGGGGAAGGAGTACAAAGTCCTTGCTCTCCGGCGCCTTCCACCCGGCAAGGGGCAGAGGGGGCGCCACTGAGAAGCCTGTCTTGGAGTGTAGCCTCACTCTCCTCTATGCTCAGCCCCCCAAAAACAATCACCCCTAGAAAGCCCATTTGCGCTCCTAGCCACTGCCACAATGTGGGGAGGGGGTGGGGAGGGGGTTCCTTTGAGGTCAAAGGGACTGTGGGACACAGGTGTATGGGCATGGGACTTGGGGTTGCTTGGGTCCCCCTCAAAAGCCAGGCGACCTCTTCAGTTTGCCGAACTTCCCCCTGGTGACCCAGATCCAGTGGAAATGATTTGTAGAAAGTGGCGGTGTGTCCCGGAGGGGGGCGTCACACGTGACTGTGTCACACTCAGGCCCGGTGCTGCTTTGCAAAGACTGCGTCAGGGAGCGCTACGCATGTGCACGTGCGTGCTCACGCCCAGTGTGGGCGCCCTGAGACTGAACTGGGACAGGTGTGACCCCACACAGGTATGCCTATGTGCACGTGTATGGACGCAGGTAGACGTGGGCCTAGAGAGGGTTGCGTGGAACTTGTGTCTACTGTGAGTCTCAAGAAATGTGAGAAACACTCTGACACTCTGTTCGCCTAAAAAGAAAGAGGACCGGAGACTTCCAGAAGATGGCGGCAGACATTTTTCGCGGCGGCCGTTGCTGGGGAGGTCCAGAGTAGGGCCTGGACTGGGAGGTAGAACGGCCGGGCCCGGGCCGTGGCAGCCCCCCAGCACCGGCCCTCCAAGCCCCTCACCTTCCCCGTGGGCCTTTTGTTTTGAGGCGCAGAGTACTGAGAAACTGCCACGACACGTGAGTGACCCCAAGAAGCCCCTTCTTACTCTCAGCATGACCGGACGTTTGTCGCTGGCAGAGAAAGCCCAAGCCAAGCCTTCCGCGACATCCTTCAGCGACAAAGGGCCCTGAGAACCAGCCCCACCCTCTGGCCTGCAACTCACAAGGGAACAAAACGAAGACAAAAACTTAAAAGAACCACAACAACCCTCGAGCCGTCCCGCCCTCGGCGTGCGCTTATACACAGGAAGGAAGTGGCCGGGTGATTCAAAGAGCCGGGGCACTGTGTCTCAAGGAAAGGAATTATTTTTCCGACCAGCCCGCCCCTGCTGTGGTTTTGAACCCCACTGCAGACACAGCCTGGGCCAGTGCCCTCACCAGACCCCCCGTGACGCTTTAGCGTCTGCCGTCTAGACGCGGCCTCCAGGGTGGACGGCAGGAAGGCGCCCAGCGGGGCGCGCTGGGACTGGACACTGTGGTCGCGTATTCTGGTCGATCTCCGCCAGCTGCGGGCGGGTCTCCAAGGGACCTCCAGGGAGCCTGTCTCTGTGTCCCAGCCACTGACTCACCTGCAAAGCTGCTTTTGATTTCTGGTCAGCAGATACCAGCAGGTTCCAGCAGGTCACCTGTGCAGCCAGGGCAGCTGAGAGCCCACCACTCCCTAGTGCCATGTCCCTTCATGCTGCGACCACCCGGCGGAGCCACAGGTCTGGGTGCTGAGTTGTCCTGTCCCTGCCCTGCCTCCCAGCCCTAGGGCCAGGCCCCTGGGTGGCCAGCACATGCATTGCTCTGGTCTGTGCTCTTCGCTCGCTGCCCCTCCCCCACTCCCTTGTCCCTCCTGACACCTTCCTGTGACACCAGGCCTCTCCCTGCTGCTGCTACGCAGCATGCCTCAGCTGGCAGCGCTTGCCAGTTCTGCAAGCCGGGACCTCTCTGTGCACCCTGTCCATCTGCAGAATGAGAGTCTCGGAGGCCTGAAGGGCCTCCAGCTGACAGGAGATAATGGCCACAAAGCACTGAGCCTGGCCCAGGACACCAGCTCCGTCAGTGTCACAGGACCTACAGAATGACCGCACGAGTCACGGTGCGGCCAGCCTTCCCGCTGCCGGGCGTCTTCTCAGCGGAGACTCGTTGGCCTTTCTACCTCTTTCCATCTTTCCTTGGAGACTTTAGAAGTTTCCCTGCAAACAGCAGGTGCTCAAAAAATAAAAGTATCTTCTGGTAGTGTAGGAGCAGAGAGGGCTGGGAGGAGGACAGCAAACAGCCAGAGCAGGTGGGAGACCACCCCCACCCCCCCGCAGGAGGGCAGGAGGAGCTGTGGTGGCCGGGGCTGGAGTCCACCGTGCAGAGGGGCAGGGCTGCTGGCTGACACCCAGCGCGGGCGTGTCTGAAGAGTCCTTCCCCAGGCCCGGGAGTGCTGGGATGAGCACGCTGCCCTGACCTTCAATGGCGGGAGCAGGCGCACTGGCCCGAGACTGCTGTCAAAGTCCTGTGCCCTGGGTGGCTTCTGCCTCTGTGTGTGGAAGTGGGCATGGGGAGGGGGTTAGGGCAGACGTGAGCAGATGAAACTGGAAGCTTCTCTGTGGCTCCTCCAGAGACCAGCGAGGGACGAAGGGGGGTCAGCATCCCATTTCCCTCATTATTAGGCAGCAGGAGACCAGAAGGACAGCAACCTCAGCAGGTGACTGGGCCTCCTTCTGGCCTTAGGGGGCAGCTGGCTCAGACACTTGAGTCCAGGAAAGTGAGATGAGGGCCTGCCCCTGTCCCTGCACCTCGAGAAGCCAGGCCCCCTCCAGACACAGCTGGGGGCTCGTCCCTTCAGGGGCTTCGGACAGCCCTGCGTGTCTGTCCTCATGGCGTCCAGTGAGGAAGGGGAGAGAGGAGATGGTCCAGGCCGTTCACTAGGATGTTCTGGTGTGGACCTCGTAGACTTCCCAGCAGAGCTAAGGTCCTCAGACACGCTGTCCTTGGTAATTTCAGGACAGAGATTCTGTGAGGGTTTCTGGCTTTTCCCAGACGAATATGCTGTTCTCAGGCCTATGAACAAGAGAACCTGCAGGCCTAAGGCCTTGGTTTGCGAGAGAACAAGCAAACCAACACCCCAGCACCTAGGCTTCAGGAAAGGGGACCTTGGGGACAAGTGTGTCTTATGGGGGACTGAACCCCATAATGCGACTTGGGTGATGGTCAGTGTGGGAGCTGTGATCCCACTTGGTTTGCGAGGCCTGAGGCCCAGTCATGTCCTTCCACATCGACCTGCCTGAGCTTCCTGCAGCCGGTGTCACTGGGTGGCTGGGTCAGGTCTCTGGTCTCTGGCTGGCTACTCTCTTCGCCACCATCTTCTCCTTCCTTACGCCTCCTCCCTCCAACCTCCACCCTGAGAAGAGAGGCCACAAGGGAAATGGTGAGACTGCTGCCTGTCCCCCTCCCCCCCAGCCTTCTCTCCTGCCCTGAGAGCAGGGGTCCTGCCTGGAGCCACCCTCCACTCTCTCCTTCCCATCCTCTCCTCTGTGTCATCCACCCGCCCTCCTGGAGCCGTCCACTCGGGCGCCATGTCGTTCTCACTCCTGCTTTCATACCAGCCGTCCACCCTCCCAGCTCAGGACACAGAGCTGGAAGTCCAGCAGACCAAGGAAGCTGGACTTTTCAGGACCAGACAGGAGCCTGAGGCCGAGTGGTCCCCGGCCATGCGCAGAGGGTCCTCCTGTGGCTGCAGACCATCAAGGGGAGCAGATGGCAGTGCCTGATGTCCACGCAGGTCTCCCACTGGCCAGACTGGAGCTCGGGGTTCACTGGGCAGTTGGTCCCTGGCCCAGATTCTCAGCCCTAGACTGGGCATAGCTCCAAAAACCTGACAAAGCATAAAGGCAAGACCCCCCAAAAGATCAAAAGGGCTTCTAAGTCATTTAATTGCCTCTCAGAACCAGCTCAAGAATATTTATAAGGATACAAAAATATCAAGCATCCAACATGGTAAAATCCGCAATGCTTGCATCCAATGAAAATGACCTTGCAATCCAAGAAACAGGAAAACACGTGTGTGTCCTAATGAGCGCTGGGCCAGGTCCAGCTGGCCAGCAGAGAGCCTTTGTGTAGGTCAGAGGCCACGTCTGCCTGGGAAGTGGTAGAACAGGGGTAGGGTGGTAGCAGTCTTCCAGCTCACAGGCTCCTCAGGCTGGAGGATGAGGGTTGGGGTGGGACAGAGGTGATTAAATACACACACACACACCCCCAAAAAATCACTCCATTGCCCCTTCCAGCATCCTTTTGTTTATTTGGCTTGGTTTGGTTTGGCTTTTCCGAAAAACTACCTAAAACTGTATTTACCCAATCTCTTTTCACTATGTCTCTGCTTTATTGTGACATACAATATACACCCAGAAAAATGCTGAAAGCAACTTATAAGGCAAATCCCTGCGTGCCCACCACTCTGAGGCACCCCCAAGCAAGTGCCTGGCTCCCTACCCCACCCCCACACCTCGTCCCTCCCTTGGCACTCCGGGGTGCGCCTCCTGATTCACACGTGAGAGGCACGTCCTTCCATGCTAAGTGTGGAATGGAATAGTGCAGTGGACGTGGAGGTTTAGATCCTGCTTCTTCCTCTCCATATTATGTGTTCTCAAGATGTGTTGCTGTGCACATCTCTAGCACATTCATTTTGCTGCTGGTTGGAATCCACCAGTTCATTTACACAAGGAGTGGACGTTTCCACTGTGTCCATTTGGGGACTGTCTTAATTGGTTCAAGCTACTATAAGCAAAACACTGTTACACTAGGTGACATAAGCCAGACAGGAAATGGCAAATACAGCATGATCTCTCTTACATGTGAAATCTAAATTGCAACAACAAAAATAGCTCAGAGATAAAGAAGACAGATGGAGGGGGGGATGGGGGTGTCACAAAATGGGTGAAAGGAGGCAAAATGTACAAACTTCCAGTTACAAAATAAGTTAAGTCCTGGGGATGGTTGTGTCCAAAATACTTCACTGATATAGAAAAGAAACAGGAGGGGTAGAGAAGGCTGCAGGCAGAGGGCGCTACTCAAGAGCACCCTCCTGGCCTTCTTATCGACAGAGAAAAGGGTTGGTCACACTGAAGAGTGAGTTTAGGGCTTTTAGAGAGAGTGAATCCAATGATAGGCACCCAACTCCCACCCTTGGCTCCAATCTTATTAGCAAAGCACTGCACTGATCAGTCCCAGGGGTACAAATCAATCAACAGTCCCGGGGGTCTGGTCTTCCCTCCTGATTATACCTGTTGCCCCAGGGCAATCAAGCTTCTTGTCTTGTCTGCTTGAAAGGAGCCTGTATGCCTACAAGGGGTGTCATGTACATGTGTCAACTATAGCTAATAGTGCTATATTGCATAGATGAAAGTTGCTACCATCTTAAAAGTACTCATCACAAGAAAAGAAAAAGTGTAGGTACATATGATGACACCTGTTAACTAGTTTTATTGTCGTGATCATTCTATCATACATACAAATAGCAAATCAATATGTTGTACATCTGAAATTTATGTTTTATGTCAGTTAGACCGCAAATATAAAAAAAAATACCACCAGCCGATGGTGTAAATAACAGACATTTATTTCTCAGAGTGTTGGAAGCTGAACGTCCTAGATCAAGGTTTCAAGTTCTGGATACGCCTTTTCCCTGGCTTATGGATCAACTGACTTCTTGTTGTGTCTTCACAAGAGAGTAGCAAGAGTGAGATCTGTGTGTCTTCTTCACCTAATTCCAGTTGTCTTCTTCACCTAATTCCAGTTATCGAATTCCAGTTATTGGGGCTCTGCTTCATGACCAAGTTACCCTCCGAGGACCCCCTCTTCCAACAACAGCACACTGGGGGTCACCAACGTGAATAGGTGATTAGCTGCGACACACACCCATGCACTGTTGCAGGCGCCTGAGTGTGAAAAGCTTTGGCTCTAGGAGACCAGTCACACCACTCTCCAAACACCTGTTTGGGGCACAGCACCTGCTGCTGCCAGTCTCGCTGTGCGCAGCCAGCGCACTGGGGTTTAATTTGAATGATAAGGAATTGTTCACTGTCCATTTGGATGTCCTCCCTTTGGAAATGTCTGTTCAAATACTTTGTCCACTTTTCCATTTTCCTCACTCCATATTTTCCTTGCTGATGTTTTGGCCAGCTGCTTACATGTATTGCAAATACCTTCCACTCTGTCTCAACATCTCTCTCTCTCGCTCTTTTTTTTTTTTTTAAAGATTTATTTATTCGTACAGAACTGGGGCACAGGCCAGAGATGCGGAGGTGAGAGGATTCACCAGAGACAGAGCGGGGTACAGAACAGGCAGATCGTGGAAGTCCACTGCTGAGGGGAGCAGCGGGCGGGTCAGGAGAGGTCTGCCGGGCCATGTGGATCTCCTCCGGGGCAGGTGGGGATCGAACTCATGCGGAAGTGGCTTAAGCTTCTTAGTACAGTGCTTTAACCCGCTGCGCCACCAGGGAGGGCCCCTCAACATTTCTTTTAATGGTATCTTGGGATGGAGAAAAGCTTCTTACTTCTAACGATCCCTGGCCAGGACCCGAACTCAGGACTTCCTGGTGATGACACTGAGACTTAACCCCTAGGCCACAGGGAAGCCCAGGAATGGTGAGTCTTTTACTCCACAAGCACAGTGAACTTTTATCCCTCCCAAATATCCAAGGGACTTGATTTTTTCTAATGTGGTAAAAAATATATAGCATAAGGCCCTCCCTGGTGGCACAGCAGGTTAAAGCACAGCACTAAGAAGCTAAAGCCACTTCCGCATGAGTTCGATTCCCGCCTGCCCCGGAGGTGACCCACATGGTGTGGCAGACCTCTCCTGACCCGCCCACTGCTCCTCTCAGCAGTGTGCTTCTACGATCTGCCTGTTCTGCTCCCCACTCCATCTCTGGTGAATCCTCTCACTGCCCCTGCACCTCTAGCCTACACCCCACTTCTGTATGCATAAATAAATAAATTTTAAAAAATACATAGCATAAAGTTTACCATCTTTACCAGTTATAAGTGTACAGTGCAATATTAATTCAATGCTCTTTATTATGCAACCCTCTAGAAT